TTGGTAATTTTGTTAGGATTGAATTGGAATAATATTTTTTTGTTGAACCCAATGATATCCATTAGAAATAAGTTGTTCTTGTTCTATCCTTCAAACCGAATTTCAGTGCTAAAGCTAATGAATATTGAATCCTTGTCTCATGGAACGAGACCATTGAATCCTTGTCCACAAAGGTGCAGCCATATTAGAAAAGAAGAAGTACCTGACTGGGAGTTACCGGTCAATAACCATCGATAAGAGTAAAATTATCAAAGATAATGTCTATAAAAGGGCAAATTAGTGGAGAAGATAAACCATGATCTGGGCATTATTAGGGTTTTTTGATTAATTTTAGGAGCAGTTAGTGTTGTAATCAAGGTTATTTTATTTAGTTTTTTGTAACTGACCTTCAATTTTATTAATAAAAAAAATCATCTTTTATTTATTAGTTATTTGTTATTTCATTTCGCCTTTGCACAAGTTTGATTGTCCATTGTTTATTCATTCAAGGAAATCTTAAAACGCATTTGAATCCATTCCAAACAATCGCCTGAAAACTATCTATTGATTGAGATATCTCAATCGATCACAATAGATTTTGGAGCAACAATCTTTCAGCATGTCTGATGGGACAATATTTTCTAACTTGGATCAAAAAATGGTTCAAACAAAGGAAGCATGAAGAGATCGTATTTGGTACTGAGAGAAATTAAATTCTAGACATGACACCAAACAATGGCAATCATGAAGCAAGTTCATGTGCCAACCCAGTGGAATCTGCAAATTTCAAAAATGGCCAGTCTAGTGGCCATGATAGTTTGCAGATGCAAGAATTTGCGCAAAACATGAAACAAATATTTCATAATCCTAATTCTGATAAAAGACAAGACTTACTTAATGTCATGCATGAATTAAGACAACATTTTGACCAAATATTTGACTAAAATAGCCTTCACTTGGTTCATTAATTTGTCTTCCTATTCAATTTAAACTTGGTAAGAAATGGAAGAGTAGTTTCATGCTCAATTCTTTAGGAATGCACCAGAGGTTTTGTTGGCAGATCTATCAAGATTAAGGCTGAAATCAAATGAATCTGTAGTGCAATATATTGATAGATTCAAAAAAAGCAAAAACAAATGTCATATTTACTTGCTTGAAGTTGAATTGGTTAAACTAGCCCAGAATGGTTTAGGTTTTGAATTAAGAAAAAAATTTGAATTAATAGAGTTCAAAGATCTCTTTGAACTCTCAGCCAGGGCTACTAGATGTGAGATGCTACTCAGAGAAGAACAACAGAGGAAAAATAGTTTACTTGAGACTTATTTCTAAGACTTCGATGGAGACGTGGAAATCGATGTAGCACAGATCCTAGGGAAGTCGCCAGTTATGTGTGATGCCTTGAAAAAGATTGAGGATGGGAGGTTGTACACCAAAAGACTTTTGAAGAGATCAAGGAACACTTGACAAAGCTTCCAGTGTTGATGCCACTAATAGAGGACAAGTAATTAAAACTATATATTTCAGCAAGAGAGAAGTCCATTGGCAACCTACTTGCACAAGATAATGACCAAGGCCATGAACATACAATCTATTACATGAGTAAAAACATTGAACAATGTTGAATGTAATTACTCTTCAATAGAAAAGATTTGTTTGACTTTGAACTTTTCAGCAATGAAATTGAGGCATTATTTACTTCCATTTACTGTGTGCGTTATTGTTTAAACTAATGTAGTTAAATATATTGTCACAAGTAGGGGTGTCCATGGGCTGGGCCGAACCGGGCCTGGGTAGTGTAGGCCAGCCCAACCCGTCACTCACTAGGCAGGCTTGTTGGATGGGCTTTTTTTTTTTTTATATATATACAATTTCATTTAAAATATTTTTAGCATAATATTTTTTAAAATTTTATTTTTGAATTAAAAGTAGAGTCAAAATAGAAAAAAATTAAATAATAAATAATTTTATTTAAATAAAGTAGAGTCATATATTATCACCAAACTTTTAATGTTTCAATAGCCACCTTTCTTTCAAACAATTATGTGAAAGGGCAGACTTGCTAGATGGGCAGGTGAGCTGGGCTAGGCGGGTAGGCTGGCGGGCGGGTTCATGGGCTGGGTAATGGGTTTGAGAGCAAGCCCAAGCCCTCTCTGGAAGGATATTGGGCTCGGGCTCTGGCTCAGGTTTGAGCGGGCCAACTATTGGGTATATCGGACTTCAGGCCTATATTTTTTCAGATTGGGTAACGGGACCTCTAGGCAACCTGGCCCATGGACACCCCAATTCACAAGACCTTTATTCAGAGGAAGAATGGGAAAATGGATCTTTATCTTAATATAATTAATATTAGTTTCAATATGTGCCACAAAAGACAGCTGAAGGCCAACCCTTAACTGATTTCTTAGTAGATCATCCAAATGTTCTTATTGAGGGAGATATATTTGAAGTGGATTGCATATAAGTAACCCCTAAAGACTAATGTTGGATGCTTCTAATAATGAAGAGGGTGTAGGAGTTGAGATTGTTCTGATATCAATAGAAGAAAAAATGTTACAATTTACCTATCAGTTAGATAGAACTTTGGTTTTATCAAATAATCAGGCCGAGTATGAGGCTTTAATTATAGGCTTGGAAATAGCTACAAACATAAAAATAAAAAACCTAAAGGTAATTGGTAACTCGCAATTTGTGATTCAACAAGTGCAAGGATGGTACAAATGCAATCATTTTGCCTTAGAAAAATATATAAATATTGTACAATCACTTATCAGGGGTTTTGAAGATGTTCACTTTGAACATGTCATGAGATTTCATGATGGAGAAACCAATGAAATGGCTCCATAAGGCATGAATGAAAGAATAATAAAAATACAAAATAGATACTTACCAACAGTGGTATCATGATTAGTAGATATATTAGCCATAGAAATAGAGGAATTTGACTGGAGGTTCCCTATCATAAAATATCTAGAAGATCCATAGAACAGATCAGGAATTAAGCAATAAACTATGTCTTCATAGAAGGGCAACTATTTAGAAAAACACCAGAAGACTTGATGTTTTCATGTATTAGCAAGTTGGATACCATGAAAGCTATAGAAGAGGTACATGAAGGAATTTGTGAATCTCACTAATTAGGTGAAAAATTTGATGGTTAATCCAAAAGTATGACTATTACTGGCAAACCATGAGAAAATATTGCAAAAGGATGTCAAGCTTGTTAAAAATATAAACCTATTTAAAGGGTACTATTGAGTTACATTCAATTGTGAAACTATAGCCATTTAGAGGTTGGGTAATAAATTTGATTGGTCAGGTTCATCATTTCTCTTCTAAACAACATTCCTACATTATAGTGGCTACTAATTATTTCATAAAATAGGAAGAAGCAGTAACTATGAAGGCTATAGATCAACAAGAAATAAATTAGTTTTATTAAGGAACACATCATTTACAGGTTTGGTTTGCCTCAAACTATTACTATCGATCAAGGTATGGCATGGAAAAAAATCAAGCAGAAATACGGGAAATTGAAATGAATATGAAGATTCCTCGTCTAGTGTTATGCAGAGTTTGAGTGATCTCACTCTTAGTGATTCATCATATGGTAGTGGTAATGAAATCAACCACTCATCAAGCTATCCGGCGGAAAATTATAGGCCTTACCCTTATAGTTATTCTCCTCAACATTATCCTCCACCATTACATCCCCAAGATAATTCTTTAGGGCTTTTGAACTTTAACAATTACTTGACATTACATACATATGGAGAGCAGTCACATATGGAGAGCAGTCACGACTAGTATCACCCTTTCTGAGTCACTTGATAACCAAGGCTATGATTCTAGTCCTGCGCCAACTGAAAGCGAGAATGGTGGTGGTAGTGACGATGACGATGATGGTGGTGGTGGTGATGGTGATGGGGGTCATCGGGTTGCTAGTCTAACCCAAATTTATGGTTATAATTGTGAGGGTAACCTTCCAGCTCAGGGTGATACTAGTGGTCATTGTCATGATTCACCATTTCGCGGGGATCATGGACTTAGTGCGGTTAGAATTGATCCATAAGCTTATGGTCAAGAATTACGGCATGGAAAAAAATCAAGCAGAAATACGAGAAATTGAAATGAATATGAAAATTCCTCGTCTAGTGTTATGCAGAGTTTGAGTGATCTCACCCTTAGTGATTCATCATATGGTAGTGGTAATGAAAACTACCACTCATCAGGCTATCCAGCTGAAAATTATAGGCCTTACCCTTATAGTTATTCTCCTCAACACTACCCTCCACCGTTACATCCCCAAGATAATTCTTTAGGGCTTTTGAACCCTAACAATTACTTGACATTACATACATATGGAGAGCAGCCACGACAAGATGGAGTTGAATTGGGAACATTTACTTATATGTTGCCTACAAGATGGAATGATGATAGTGGAGGTAATCAAGATCAATCTCAATCTCAATGTTTGGATCCTCCGCGTCGTTCTTTTTGGTGGTGAGATTGTTGAAAGGTAACACTATTGCTTTCTCTTTTTTATTGTATTGTAAAATTCTAAAAATCATTTTGGTTTTATCAATATGTTTCATTTAATAAATTGTTAGATTTGTAATTGTGCATTTTATTTGTTCAATTGTTGCTAATGGAAAGGTCACTGATGCATAGTGACTTAAGAAATATTATTAATACTTATGATATTTTATTATCATATTTATGATACAATAAAATATACTAAATCACTAAACACCTATATTTGCATGATTTTAAGTTGAAATATGTAAATATTCATGTTTTATAGGAGGTTGTGAGTTGAAAAAAAAAATTCACGCATTCGGTTTCCGTTACCGTTACGTAACGCTCGTTCCACCCCGTTTTCGTTACAACGTTATCGTTACCGTTATCATTACGGTGTCCGTTATCGTTATTCAGAACCATGCACCATAGCCTATTAGCCTACGTCTAACAAAGGAGAGATAGAGAGAGTGAGAGAGAGTGGAGATGGAGAACGGACCAAGAAGATGGGGTTTCCGATTGAACGAAGAGCTGAACACGGCGTCGGAACTCACCATAAGAGGCATGCGCTACTTCTTAATGGAAAATCTCAACCAAGCAGACCTCTCGGCCACGGCTACCCCTCAGCGTTTCAATGCTTTCGGACGGCTTCCGTAGCCGAAGATGCGGTAGCCGATGCCGTCCGGTCAGCTAAGTTCAACGGCTATGCCCCCACCGTTGGTATTCTTCCGGCGAGAAGGTACTTAAACTTAAATAACATTGTCACTATTTTACAGTCTATCATTCCTTGTATGAAGCAAGAATATTTTGTTACAATAATTATATCCGTATTAAATATGAACATGATTTGGGCATAGTAGACAGACATATTGGATATTTTTTTAAAAAATTAAAAAAGGCAGCAAAAGAGAACAATTAGAGATCATGCCCGTTACACCTCTTCAGAATGAATCTAGCTAGGCTAATATAGCTATCAACCATCGAGCCCCAATGTAGATTTTGAGATTCAAACTTCCAATCTAAGTTGAAAAGTTCGATCAGTACTCCACTAGACCACACTACTCTGTGGTAGATATATTGGATATAATCCTATATGAATTGGATATTCCAAAAATGTTTTTCAATTTTTGGATATGTTTTGGTTACTCGTCTGATATGATTAGTATATGATAAATATAAAATAAAATAAATTTTAATAAACTTATTTGATGGTCTCAAATAGATTAATTCAACGACCATTAATATCTCTCTTAAATTTTTACCGTGCCTTTAGGCACGGGTTACCCATAGTATACGTTAAAGATAAATGATATAGACGTTTAGAATATGTTTTGGATACATCGTTGATAAATATATTGTTTTTATATTTTCAAAATCGGGTACTCAATAGATAATTGCAGAAAGCGAAATAAAATTTTTAAAACAAAAATATGCAAGTTCGTTTTAAAAAAACAAATTGAGTTTAGCTTGCTTACCAAGCCACCCACTAGAGAAGCTAGTCCTGATAGTCGGCTATGCTATTTATTGAATCAAAGCCTCTTATAACATGTCATTGTTAAGAGAATTTGTGTTCTACATCCAATAAATTAGGATCGCAAAGGTTAGTTTATATACTTGACGAACTAGTCTATCCATTGTTAATTGGTTTTGGAATAGATGTTTTAACATGATGTCAGAGTTAGGTCTTGGGTGGTTAATGGACCAAGTCTCTTACCCATTTGAATTTCTCACTGTGCATAGTTATTTGGTTGTTTGTTAACCCCATGTACAAGCTCGGCTCCCATATGGGGGAGAGTGTTGAGAGATGAGAAGCAGCCCCACCCAGTGACAATTGATTTTAGATTAGATACTCTAACGGTCATTAATCTTACTTCTAAAATTTTACCCATTTAAAAGTGAAAATAGAAGACCGAGGTGAATATTTGTTTACAATTTGTAATATATTTGATATTTGATATGACTTATTCATTCAAATACTTGAATAAAAAAAATCTTTAAATTATTTCATTGTTTTTGTTTCATTAGGAATTACCTAGTTACCCATCCTCTCCCTTACATAAGTTGTTAAAGAATTACTTATGACATGGTTCATCTGATCAAATTCATCAATGCAACATTTGATTATTTACCTAGGGCCATAGCAGAGTCCCTATCTCAAGAACTTCCATACAAGTTATCAGCTGATAATGTTTATCTAACACTTGGATGCGCACAAGCAATCGAAGTCATATTAGCAGTCCTTGCTCGACCCAACGCCAACATTCTATTGTCAAGACCGGGCTACCCTTATTATGCAGCGCGTGCAGCGTATAGCCATCTTGAATTCCGTCACTTTGATCTTCTTCCAGAGAAAGGTTGGGAGGTTGATCTTGATCGAGTTGAAGCACTTGCGGATGAAAATACTGTCGTGATGGTCATTGTGAACCCTGGCAATCCTTGTGGAAATGTCTTTACGTACCAACATCTAAAGAAGGTATGTATCTTTTTTTTTTTTTGCTTGGGGAGGGGGGGCGCATTGTAATTGCATGACTTTTGGTTATTTTGCTAATGGTGAGTGGGATGATCTCCTAGGTTGCTGAGACTGCAAGAAAGCTTGGGATGTTAGTGATTACTGATGAAGTTTAAGATCATCTTACTTTCGGGAGTAATCTATTTGTCCCCATGGGAGTCTTTGGATCAATTGCTCCTGTTATCACAGTTGGGTCGACATCGAAAAGATGGATTGTTCCGGGTTGGCGACTTGGTTGGCTTGTGACAAATGATCCCAATGACATCCTCAAGAAACATGGGGTACTTTCTCTTTCAACTATTACTCTCATGCCATCATGATTTTCCCCGATTTATTATACCACACATCAAGGTTCCCTTGATTGATATTTAGCAATTCAGGGAATGTAGTCTGTAGAACTAACTTAATTCCCAAAGCTGTGGAAAATCCTGTGACTCATTACGAGCAAGCGATAGCCGCATTCGTAGGTGTGGCCACCGCATTTGGGTAACATTATAAGCAAAATTCAATAATCTTAACACGAAGACATTGCTATAACTAGCTAATTAACATTAAAAAGCTTCGACCATATCTAGTGTAGTAGGCATATAGTTTGAAAATCATAATGAAATCCATGCTGTGGAAATCATTTATGGAAAATTTTGGTATAGCATTCTTACTGTATGTAAAGTCATGTAATGTAAGATGCACAATTTTGTCAACTGTTGTTTTCTTTTAGTTTAGATCTTCCGTTTTACAATAGAATAATACCTTAATTTTCTTCTTTCCAGATTGTCGATTGCATTAAGGGCTTTCAAAATATATCCTCTGACCCTGCAACCTTCATTCAGGTTTGTAGTTCAAGATGCTTTATCCAAATAACTTAGTTATCTTACATTCCTCTGGAATGGAATGATCCATTAAGGAAATTGAACTTCATGTTATCGATATGTCACTATGTATTGGTAATATCACTATCATTGTGTAACCTTCTCTACTTTAGAAATTTGTTGATAGCATTTGAAAGTAGTTTTTCTTATCTGTATCTCTTACACCTTGAACTTCAGTTGTAGACATCGAGCATATGAGCCCAATTATCACTCTACAACTATCATACTCTATTCTTAAACGGATGACTCTTANACATTGCAGGGAGGTGATCCAGATCTCTGCTCTGCGTTGAAAGGCTCTGAAAATTCGATACGATACGATTATCTGACACAAATTGACACGACTTATGTGGGTTTAAATGAAATCTTAACGGATTTGGATGATAAACAGATTGACACGCCAAACACGTTTAATAAACGGGTCGTGTTCGGGTGAGACTTGTCAAACCGGTTATCACATGTTTACCCATTTAAATAAAATTAATATAATAATAAATTAATAATTATTTTAAAAAATTAGCAAGAAAAAAAGAAGTAAAGAAATCAATAAAAAAAAAAAGTAAAGTAGTAGTTCAAAAACAAAAGAGAGAAAATAAATAGCACTTCAAAGATAAAGGCAAACCAATATCTTTTGTTCTTGTCCCACATTGAAAAATGAGAGGAGATTGAGAAGATTGAGTTGTCTATAAAAAAACAATGGCCTTTTTTTTTTTTTTTTAGCCTTTAAGTTTTATTTTTATGAGATTTGGTAAAAAATTTCTCTTTTTTCAGATAAGTGCAATTGACAATAAAAAAATAGTGGAGTATTAAAATTTGTTAATATAATTTTTTTTAAATTAAACGGGTTAAATGAGTTATGTCGTGTTACTTATTTATTAAACGGGTCGTATTCGTATTGAGATTTTTTACCCGTTTATTAAACGTGTAGTGTACAGGTTTATATATTTTTTATTCGTCATCCGTTTAACCCGACACGTAACCGTTTAACCCGACACGTTTGACACCCCCATGATATATTTGAAGACAAACTTCATCTACACCCCTTCTAAATAAACATATCTTCAATAAGATTCCTTCTGGTTTCTAATTTTTTTTACATATTAAAATTCGAACCAAAAAAATTTAATTTAAGCTAATTAAAATTTATTTTTTTACATATTAAAATTTGAGTCGATTAAAAATTATACTTTTATTAAAATTTGGGCTAATTAAAATTCCATTTGAGCAAATTAAAAATTATTTTTAATCAAATTTTAATCAACTCGCATTGAATTTTAATCAGCATAAATTTTAATACATAAAAAAATATAAATTATAATTGACTCAAATTTTAATAAATTGGATTTTAATTGACATGAATTTTAATAAGTAAAAAAATATAAATTTTAATTGACTCGAAAGCGAATTTTAATCA